GGAATATGATTAAGAGCATACAGAACAAGGCCTTGGCGAATTTCTCTCGCTTGGTCAGCCTCTCGCTGCGTCACAACCAGATCGACGTGCTGCAGGATCACGCCTTCTTCGGGCTGGGCTCATTGGACAGCCTCGACTTGAGCTACAACGGCATTGTGGCCATCTCCAGCGCCTCGCTGCAGCACCTCACGCGGCTCACAGTGCTCGACCTGACGCACAATTTTCTGCGCGCCCTCACCTCGGACCTGATTGCACCGCTGCCCTCGCTGCGGGAGCTGCGCTTGGCCGGCAATGACATCTCGATCGTGGCCAGAAATGCCATGGATCGCGCACAGGAGCTGCAGAGCTTGCAGATGCAGGAGAATCCGCTGTCCTGCGACTGCAGCATTCGTCCTTTCGCCGAGTGGCTGCAGGTCTCCAAGCTTTCCTCCAGTCTCAGCGCCTCCTGCGTCACACCTCCGCGACTGGAGGGCGCTCCGCTGCTGCAGGTGCCGGTGGAGTCGCTCACCTGCGACATGGACAACGTGGAGAAAGATAATGCGAACATTATGGAGCATCTGGAAACGCTGGCCAAGCCCAATCAAACGTCGACACATGTCAAGGACTTGTCCGAGGAGGTTTGTACTCTATGGAATTATTATAGTTCTTTGTAGCTAACTTGCCGATTCCCTTAGATCATTCTACACGAATTGCATTACTCGGCGGACTATGGCCTGATCCTGACGTGGCTGCTGAATCTTAGCAAGAAGGACTATATGTGCGACGCCATATTCGTTTACAAGGAGCAGAATGTCAACGAGATTCTCATCGATAACTCACCTGTAAGTGGAGGTGACATAATGGCTTAAATGGGCTGAAAGTAAACTGTAAAACTTTTATTTAGATCCACTGCGAGAGCAAGGTCGTCAATGGGCAGAATACCGTGAGCGTGATAGTGCCCGATAGTTCCTCATTGGATATTGGCGAAAGGTAGGTTACAGTCTACACAAACTCCTATATATTCTCTATATGATTTTTATAAACTCTTCAAGAACTCTTCTGAATTCTCTTCATATACATACATACTACATACACTTCATAAACTCTTTCTGTACTGCCCTCTCTACTCTCTACTTTCTATATATTATTAATAACTTTCCACACCTTAAACTCTGCATTCTCACGGTTTGCTTTTGCCTTTGCAGCTATCGCTTCTGCCTGGTCATGGTGCAGGAGCAAAATCCCAAAGCTGAGCTCAACATCGGCTGCTCCAACATAACGCAGCTGCAGCTCAGCAGTCCCGGCTCCAAGCCCGCTCTGCGTCAGTATCAGCGTCGGCCCTACTATACGCCGCACGAGCTGGATCTGGAGCCGGAGCAGGCGGCTGGCGAGGACTACCAGCAGCTGAATCCGCGCCAGTTTAGCAGCGGCAGCCAGCAGCAGCAGCCGTTGCATCCACATCAGCAGCAGCCGCCGCCGACGTTGATGCACAGCTACGATGTTATTGATTCGCTGCACAAGAGTTTCCTGCCCGGACTGGGGCTGGGCATTCTGGTTACCTCGGTGGTCGTCCTGATCTGGGGTGCCACGCGCATACGGCAAAGCGTCAGTGGTGGAGCGGGTGATGCCAGTCTGAGCAGCATTAGCAGCTTGCACCACCACCACCACAATAACAACAACAACAATAACAACAGCAGCAACAACAGCAGGCCGGGCACGCCCACCGCGACGACTTGCTACGCCGCCTCGGACCACATAGCGAGGATGGCGGACGCGGAGAATGGCACGCGCTACCTCAAGCTGCAGGCAACGACCAGCCTGTAGGAGCAGGAGGAGGAGGAGTAGGAGAAGAGAGGTAGAGAGGTAGAGAGGCGCCAGCCAGACTCAGAGCCAATCGAACCAATCGAACTTGTGATAGTACAAGCACCTTGTACCCAAATAAATGTATATCATATCATAGAGTATATAGATTCATACACATAGCATATGCTTATAGAGGGAGCTGTCGTCAGCTCACCCGCACTAATCCAAATACTTGGCCTAACACTAACCAAATTGTGCCATAAGCTAACTCACACAAGAATAGCACCTCGTTCTATATAAGAAACGAAATCTTAAGCTAACACTCAATATATACATACATATATATTATTACCAGTTTTAGCTTCAGCTCGGAATTTTCAAGAGGGCATTCGAAAATAGTTTAGACACAACTGAAAATACCTATATATATATTAACATACTTTTCTATTTTGTTTTATGTTCCCCTTAAGATCGGACACTTTTCAGACTAACCTCGCATACACACATACATATGTCTTACTCAATATCTTTAGGATGCCACTCATGTGCAGGCTCTTGCAGGTAGAAGAGGAATACACATTCTTTCGCCCTGTATATTTCTTATCTTAATATAACATTTATATTATATTATAGTTAAAGCTATTGACTCTAGGAATATGTCGAGATTTGTATATTCGACTTATTTCGACTTTTATATTCCCCATCCGCCTCTGCAAGGGCAACTGCAAGTTTACTATAAACTGCACAACAATTTTTGTTAGCCTTTGGGGCTAAAAACTTTGACGTCGCCTCTTTGACTTTTGCGTAGTATTAAGGAATCATAAGTCATGACCCTTTAGGTTTACGCTTTAATAATTTATTAACCATATACCAAGCACACAAAAAACAAAAACAAATTGTAAGTAAATAAAATGTTGAAATTACTTTACGATGATGGCAATAAAGCACACACACAATGCAATGTCGCACTCTTCAGTTTGTTGGGGTGGGGTCGATGGGGGCGTGGCATCACGCTGTGCATGAGCAATCGAAGCCTTGGCCATTTGGTATTTCGGCTATTTTTATACATACATAATATTAAGTGGACTATTAGCATGCGTATGACGTCACACGCTCTTGACTTTTTAGCTTATGGACCTTATGAGCTCATAGTTTTAAGCGCCCACGGGACGCACTGCTTAAAACAATTGGCGCAAGCAGCAATAATAACGGAATAACAAGGACAAGGCGAGGAGTGAGGCAGAGCCATGGCTATGGTCTAGTGGAGCTGATTATTGACTATCGCCTGGCTAGCCAGAAATCAGAGTTGGTTCAATGCTGGTCAAACATTGCAGCACTTCCACTAAACTGTGACCGTCGCCCTCACACTTCCGCTGCGCTTGGCATACCCTGTATTTAGTGAGGATGCGCGACTAGGGAGTGAAGATGCGCAACTGCACAGTTCGATAAATTGCTAAGACTCATCTACCAGAACTAGGAGATGTTTTATATAAAATCGATACTTATCGATCGATTCTATATCTATATTTCGATATTCGAAAGACTTCTTATAAATATACATGCATGTTCATATTTGATATACAGATTGTTAACACAGCATAGGAAGAAGAATACTTACTTACAGGGCATCTGCTAGTCAGTCATTCAGTTGGTAATTCTTTGCTGCGGTCTGTTTGTGTTGTGGCCATCGCTGATATGGCGACGCGTGAGTCCAGACTTGCCAAACGGTCAGACGTCCTCGCGGGCCGTCAGTTGGGCGACAACAATGAGCACGGCCAGAACGACAGAGCTGGCCACGGGCAGGACGACGCGTTAGCCGTTTATCGATTTTCATATAACTCACCCACACACACACACATACAGCCTCGAAGGCATTGCGGGTGTTGCGTGTTAGCAAAGTGAAAAGGCAGAGGAAATAAAATAACAACTAGGTCCTCAGTTCAGTTGAAAGTCCCCTGGAACTGGGCGCCCCTGTGGCGGCCCTTTGGAACGGCCTCCATATGAGCATGCTGGGCTTTGTCTACTTAGTGCTGATCCTTGGCTGGATATTGATCGTGCTGTTTCTCAAGTGCAAGAAGTCGCTGACGGCGCCCTTTCGCTTGGGCGAAAGCTACACGGATGCCATCGCGGAGACGAGTGCCGAGCGCCGTCCCTCGGTGCATGTGATCCAGCTACAGAGCGAGGACATCGAGCAGGAGGATCACTACATGAACAATTTCCACAGGCAAACGGACAACCTGCAGCGCTACTCGCATCGCTCGACGCTCGAGGAGCGCACCATCGAGCGCACATATCCCACGGATGCGGTCATCAACCCAGCCTACATGCACGACGAGGACTACGTGATTAACGGTAGGCGTTGCATGACCGAACGCTAACTTAGTTATGAATTTCCTTCTTTCCTCCTTTAACTCTAGCTCCGCCGCCCTCATACGACGAGGTGATGCGACAGCCGCAGGTGTACCCGCAGGTGCGACACAATAATCATAAGATTAGCCACCTAGACATTTAGGCTACTTAAGATAAGATCTCTGTGTACATATGTATTTGGATCAGCTGTGATTTCTCTGAATTATATACATATATAGATAGATGATATATGCATATGCATTCAATTACAAAGTTTCCTTCTGTTATTGCGTATTTCATATATTTATTTTGTGTTGTGGGCCATCAGCAACAAAATCAATTCAATTGATTCTACAAATTGTTGCAATTAGCAGTTAACATTAATTATACACATATAGAAAATGTACAAAATCATTTTACATATGATTACAAACAAACAGTCAGTCAAAGTGTGCGTAAGTGTGTGTGTACGTTGTAAATAAATAATTAGATGAAAGTGTATGTGTGCTGTGAGTGTGTGTGTTTGTCATACAAATTAAACCGAAAGAGAAACATATATAAAAACAAACTAAACTAAATAAGCATAAAGATGCGTGGTCTCCATCCATCCATACATATAAAGTATATATATATATCTATATATATGTGATGTGTGTCCGTTTATGTGCGTGTTGGTATTTGGCTAAATTAAGTCACTAAATTCGTTAGACCTTTACATAAATATGCACAAACATTTGCGCCTAGGCTCAAATTATTCACAGTTCTAATGACTTAAGTTGAGTTTCCGATTTTCATATTTCCCTTTTTTTTTTGTTTTTTGGCCCAATTTTTTGGCTATATATTTATGTATAAATATATATATATCTATCTGCATCTATGAGAGCACCTTATGGACGCTATGCATTTGTATAAACGCCTCCAGCTGCTTGGGTATCATGCCCTTGAAGCTTATTCTGTTGCTGGCAATGCAGCGCGCCGCTAAGCATTTCAGAGTCGTGTGCGCGTTCTGATGGCCATGCAGCAGGTTGGCCAAGTTGGCTGCAAGAAGACGAGACATTCAGTTAGCAACTATGATTTGAAGCATATTTAACTGCAGTTTACCTAGCTTGCAGGCTGCAGCTGCTGTTTGACCCGCTGCATTCACCGCATCCAAATGTGCGCCTGCCTCCACGAATAGCTGCAATATGCGCGTCATCTCGCCCTGGCGATCCTGCGAGCTGTTTATCTTCGTCACTAGGATATGCAGCGGCGTATTCCTGGCCGCATCCACAGCCACCACAGAGGCGCCGCAGTGCACCAGAACCAAAGCAGTTGCATAGCAGGGGAATCTGCCAGAAGACAACAACAATTAGATGGAATCTTTAAAGGACCACACTCTCCTCTTACTTGCACATTTCGTTGGTGTAGAATTCGTCTATGGGTGTCACACCGTTCACGGCCAGATGCAGCAGCGTTTGTCCATCCTGCAGACGTGTGTCGTTCTGTATAAACTTACGAACCACTAAGAATAGCTGCTGTATGTGATCCTCATTGATGTCCTGATCCTTCTTGCGACGTGCTAGCTGAGTGACTATCTTAATTAAATACAACGCTGTGATGCAGTTCTGATTGTTCTGGTCCTGCAGCAGACTGACGCAGGTGTTGGGCTTATCGTTCCGCATCTTTAGCTTGTTGTTCTCAATCTCCTGCTGGCATTTGGTCAACACGGGCAGCACATGGTCCAGGGTCAGGCGATGGTTCTCCACACGCAAAATCTGCGCAAAGAGCTGCGCAAAACGCAGCAAATCGCGATCCACGCTGACCTGGAACGGAAAATAGGAATGTGAATAAATGCAGCGCAATAAGTTGGCTATATTATCTTACATTGTTGCGCATGCGAAGATCGATGGCATAGTTCCACAGCACTTGACACTGCTCGAATCGGCCCTGATCTGCCATTACAGCGCCTCGATAGACAATCGCTTGTGGCAATTCCGGATTGTTTTTTCCCAGCACACGCTCCCGTATGGCCAACGACTCCATGTGGATGGAGTGATGATTCAGCTTGATGGCATTCAATTCGGGCAAGTTCTCCGTCTCGAACCAGCTGTCATATGCAGGTACCGGCTGTTGCACCTTCTTACGAATCACGTGTCTCGGATCGCTGTAGCGCATCTGCATGGCACGCATTAAATAGCTGTAAGCGCGATTCACGTCATACTTCGTCTTATCGTTCGCATACGTAGCGCCTAGCAGCTCCAGCGCAGTGATCTGCTCCTCTTTGCTCATCAGTCCAGGGCGCTGGATGAAGGCCTCCACTACATCCTCATGCAATCGCTCTGCAGCCTGCAGTGCTGGAGTTATTCCTGCCTCATTCTTCTGCAGCGTGGCGCCATGATCGAGCAGAGCGTTGACCACATCCAGATGGCCGCTCTCCGCAGCATAGTGCAGAGCTGTGGCTCCACACAGCGCTTGGTCGTTGGGGCGCGAGCCATTCTGCAGCAGCGTATTGACAACCAGATGATGACCCTTGTAGGCGGCTATCATCAGCGTGTTGTTGTTGAACAAGTTTGTGGCATTCACATCGGCGCCATGTTCCAGCAGAAACTCCACGATGTCCAAGCGACCTGCACGACAAAGAAATGCAATTGACTAAATAGAACACGGCATGCATAATCAATTAATTACCTTCGTAGCAGGCAGCGCGTAGCGGCGAGGATTGCGCCTTGGTGTTGTGATTGATGGAGGCGCCGGCCTGCACCAGCATCTTAACAATCTGCAAGTGGCCCATGCCAGCGGCTACCCACAAGGCTGTGGCGCCATACACCACCAGCCCATCGAATATGACATTGCATTCCCGTTCCAGGTCCACGTCGTAATGAGAGAGCAGCGTCTTAACGAACGTCACATTGCCCGACATGGCGGCCATGGTGAGAGGCGTTAGCGATTGGCCATCGGGCTGATCAAAGTTCTGTGTGTGAGAATAGAGAGGGAGTTTAGTATGGAAGAGTCGAGAAGACTTTAAGATTGATGAGCGCATATTATATCTCTATGTCTTATAATGAGACTATCCCATAAAGTATTTGCTACAGTGAATACGCGAATGATAGAACACTTCGCTCCTATAACAATAAAACCTTGATACATATACATATATGTATAAACTAAAACTGCAGGGTATATTTTGGTCTACTAGACAATATTTGTTACAGTCGCAGTCTATTCTTCAATCTTCAAACCCTCTGTCCACAATAGGCATAGCTCACTATCCATGCATATTATCATCTATTTAATGTATGCGTATTCACGCTGCGAATACATTGTTTATGGCGCAAGCTCTATTCTCTATCCACTATAACCTTAGTTCACTGCCTACATAAATGTTTTCTATTTGATATGTATATTTTGGTTATATTTTGTATGCTTATGAGATGCGTGCGCATATATATTTTATATATATTTTTAAAAACTTTTCACAGTCAAGGCTGAAGCTGGCGAACATACGAAAATAGTGCGTTTTTCCTCGCTTTTTGCAGCATAAATTTCTCGCTGTGGGAAAACGTGCATACAGAATTGTCGCAGCAAGTTTTCCTTTGTTGTTGCTGTTGTTCATTTGGGTTTTGGCACGGCAAATGTAAATATTACAAATGCGCACGCTCTTTGTCTTGGCTGCACATCTACTATACACATATTATACACATACATATATATTTATATATGTGTGTGGTTGTGTGTGCTAGACATATGGATGCTGCGGACTGAGACAAGATCCAGACATGGCCTGTCCAAAGTCCAAGGCAAAAGTCTTTGCATTCAGGGCTGACACCAATTGCGTTCTTGGTTTTTGGCTTTACTATAAATAGCAACTGGGTCAAGAAACTCAACAGACCCGGGACTTGGTAGTCGCGACCCGGATCGACACTCACCGCCGGATAAGTTATATAGCTGGTTAGGGGCAATTGGTCGCTAGCTCCACGCCAGAAACTTGCGCCTGGCCAAGCCGACTCGTACCAGCGCTTCCGAGTGCTGTCAAAAAGTAGAATTAGTTGAGGGATAATGCCAATGGCCAGCGAAACTCTAGACTTTACCGATATAGCTCTGCGTGCATGGTCAACTCCTGTATAACTTGGTTCTAGGTATAAATTCAACTGGAGCTGTGACTCGTGCAAAGGACGCAGCTGGACTCGACCAAAAATTCGATAAAACTTCGTGAAGAGAACGAAACCAAAAAGGAATTCCAGCGCCCAACCCCATGTTTGCATATGGCCACACAGCGAATTCGGTTTTACACTTCAGAGGGGTTGTTCATCAGTCAAAGGACACGCATTAGAGGGTAAAACGTGCGCAGGCGCCGAGCGAGCCGCTGGCACAGCTGATGCACAGGAGAGCGAGAGAGCACTGTGAGTGGGAGAGCAGCCTTCTCTCTCAGATATAGATAGGGGTTTGTTTACAGATTGAGACAGAGAGAAAGAGAGAGAGAGAAAGTGCATGTGTGGGGGTTTGTTTACAGTTTATGCCAGCTGTTTACTGCATTCCAAACTCAACTACTGAATTCAGCTTAAGAAATGTTTATTGTAGTTCATTTACCGCACTTTGAGCGAATGTATGTATGTGTTTCTTGATCATGGCATGTATATGTACTTGTTTCTATGCAATATAGAAAAATACAAATATAATAATTTAACATAAAATATTCTTTGTCTGGTATTTTCAGAAATTACGATAAAACAATTAAAATTCTGTAATCGTATTCCTACCTATAATATTTTAAAATCCACTTTTATTTTGATATCCCATCATCCCACCCTTTTTCAATATTCATAAATTCGGAAGTGGGCTTCATAAATAGTTTTACATTGATGATGATTAAGGAACGCACAATAACAGGAACTGGCTGTTGGCCAAGTTCGTGTCGAGTAGATCCAGAACAAGAAAGAAAAGAGAAGGCACGCGAGCAAATGAATAATCAGCTAAAGATGAGGCTATAATCGCGAATAGAAGATGACGGGGCAGCTTTTCATCACATACATGAATAAATATAATATGTATATATATATAGACATGTTTGCCTCAATTGCGTATCAAAACTTGTGAACATTAATTGCAAATTAACAATTACTGCGCGCTTGCAAGCGATAAAATAATATATAAACACCCGCTAAATACACATGGTACGGTAAGGTAGAGAGCGGAAGAGAGAGAAAGAGAGTGGGGGCAATTGGTGGGTCTTCTCGCTTGCTCGCCCTCTCGCCCAGCTGTGTGCGATAAACAAAGAAAGCAACCAAAAATAATAGCAAAAGAGATTCGATTCTACATATACGTATATCAAAACATTATACCTATATATAGGTGAGCGTTTTCATTAATGACGCAGTAGAGTAAATTACGCTCATTACGCAAAATCAAATTAGCAGTTATTTGATTGATGTGGTGGGGCAGAGGAGTGCGGATGGGGGCTGTGACTTACCGTATTAACCAAATGAACTTGCATTTCCTTCGAGTTGATCGTGTTTAGGGCCTCAACAAATCTCATCATCTGACTGCTGCGTGCCGCCAAAAATATGGTGTTCACCAATGAGAATTTGATTTTCTCATCTGGAAATTTTTTGTGCAGTTCCTCGGTAATTTCCACGAGCATTCCGTGTGCCATATTAAAATAGCCATAGTCCAAAGAATCGTCGTAGATCGAGGTATTTGCGTGCTCGTCCTGGTCATCGTCATCGATATCCATGTTGTTCAGCAGCGACGCCAACTGACGCAGCGTGCAATAACTAAGTAAACCGCTTATATTGCCGAATTTTCTGATCGTACCAAATAATGAAAAACTTTTTATTGACACTAACACACATGAGCACTTGTTCACAGCAACAATGTTACTGAGCATGCGAACCAGTCGTTCATGTTCATTTGAACTACTTGTTGCAATCGATACATCGTATATGGTCTGTTAATAACAGAATGCTGTTAGCTGTCGCCAAATTATTATATGTAAACAATATTAAAATCCACGATTGAGTAATAGCAGTGGTGATAGTGTGACTGTCTTTTAACAGCGATTAAAAACGTTATTAATTTCATGAGCTCTTTATTATATTGTTGGCCCGTAACGCCTACAGTGCCCCTCTTTAGCCATCAGTGTGACCATAACCACTATAATTAAAATACGTTACTTATTCTTGATTTCCATTTATTTGTATTGTTATTCAAAATAAAACTTATGTGCAAACATGAAACAATTGTGTGAAATACAGCTTGAAATAAAACATATACATATACATATATTTTATGTGCCTGCCTGCGTATGTGTATATATAGGTGTGCTTACAGTTTCTTTTCTTCTTCATATCAGCTATAGTTTCTCCTCTCCTTAAAATTTATATGCGAAATAAGTTTGAGCTCTTAATGTTGTGTGAATTACAGACTTGGTATATAATGGTGTTGTTTGTGTTGACATTGTCATTGTAGTAATAGCAAATAGATGTCCGATCGCTAAGTACTTCTCTCGAGGAAAACGTATTAAAATTTGTTTGTTGCAATTCTTCTTTTCCTGTGTATGTGTGCGTACATTAAGCTTCGTTATGAGATTTTTTGAACATTGGGTAACCTGATATATATATATATATATTACATATATAAATTTTCGTTTATATATCACTGTGTTTATTGTCTAGGTTTACCCAATGTTGTTTTAAAATCGAAGCGTTTCTGAGCCCATATTTTTCCAATTTATTTGTGTTTCTTCTGTTATTTTGGAAAATTATGCCTGGAACGCAACGATATTTGATGATAGCATATTCAATTATGTATATACATTTATACATATATAATGCTTGATCTCTTCTATACACCATTTTTAAAGTCGGATCTATTTCTTCATGTTTTTCTTCCGATTAATTTGAGGCGTGTGTGTTGGGTTAGATGTGTGTTTCAGCAGTAGCCCAAGCACGAAATTCCAGAGTTCGGGTCAACTTGCTCCATATTCTTATATATATATAAACATATTTATATATACATACATATATGTGTTGATAAATACATATATGTATATATATATTATTCTCATAATTATGTATATATATATAGATCTAAATATCGTATTCCATCCACATTATTTTTTGTGAGTCTTCTTCAATTAGGGCAACGACATCCAAGACCACATCAATTATACATATATATATTCCATATTCATATTATCCATATCCACTAACATGTCCTTTCACATATATTCTCGAGTATTATCATTGGGATAGCCACGTGTACATGTTGCGCAAAAAAAAAAAAAAATTATATTACTTGAAATTTTAACTTCTTACACTTGAATTTTGGGATTGCAATTTGTTTCTAATCTGTGCCGTTCTTCAAAAAGGAAAACAGTTCGCTTCGCTTGTTGTATTATTATTATTATTTTCCATTATTTCTTCATCTTCTTCATTATTCTTTTTCTAAATTTTTTACTATTTTTTGTTCTAAGAGTTGCTTGATGCCTTTGTGACAAATTTTTTGTGATTTTCTTTTTATCATCATATTTGGTTATTCTGTTTGTGTCTGGGAAATAAGTTAAAATTTATGTTATATAATTTACTACAATGGCTAAAAACAAATTGTAAAATTAATTAACATTCAAAGTGCGCTTCACTATCATATTATATAACATTATAAATATATATACAAGTTTAGCTACATTAGCATATCTAAATATTTGTTTTGTTGTGACAAAATCTGAAGAGCTTTAACCATTCATTATGCCTCTTCAGTTGGTGTGCGCATGTGTAAAAGCATTCTAAAATCTAAATCAACAAATTATATAACATTAAGCTATTCAGCGCGCAGTATACCTGTTTTTACATATTTCATATTTCTTTCAGTATAGCGCTGAATAACATCTATATATATACTCTATATACATTAGCTAACGTTAGCATTACGTTTCTTAAAAAAGCGTATAATAAATGCTGTGTAAAAGTTAGTAAACAATAATTTACTTGGTAGCGCCGCGCCCCTTTTAGTTGATGGCCGCAATGGGTACGTAGTTGGGCATGGAGATGCTAGCCGGAGCAGTATTGTTCAGTGACTCGGCATTCTTCACCTCCTTGGTGTTGAGACTGGGACGCGAATTGCGTTTGCGCTGTGGACGCCCGTTGTTCTTGATAGGCGACGGTGTTTTGGTGGTTGAATCTGGTACAGATGATAAACTTTGCGACTTATCCCCGCCGGCACCAAATTCATCGCTGGCCGAACGCGATCCATTTCCACCGCCGCCGGACTTGTGAGAGGGCGTGTTACGCTTATTGCGACGACGAATGGTGCTTGGCTTAATGATCGGTTTGATGGTCACCTTATTGGGATCAAAGAAGCTATCGAGCAGCTCAACAAGCTCGTTTTTATCTTCGGTCTTGAGGCTGGCAATGCCTTGCAGGGCAGCATCTAGCCCCTCGGTACGCTTCTCAGTCCAAATATCATTAAGCGTGGTTAGATCGAAGCCATTCTCGGCCAGCACAATACGAAATTTGACGGCACGTACACGATGATAGAGCGTGGTCTTGAAATAGTTCAAGAAGACGGGACGAAACGAATTTTGTCGCTCTAAATGAACATTCTGTGTGTCCAGCTCCTTGACATCACCGCTGATTGCCTCAGTGAAGGGCTTGAGAGCATTAAACAGATTGCTCAAGGCCTCCGCTGATGAATCCGGCTCAGCGGTGTTGCTGCTAACGTCCAAATTGCTTAGCTGCAAAGCCACATTGAAGGTTAGCTTGGCACGGACGCTGGCACTGCCATCGAACTCATCTCGCTCCTTTTGTTGGAGTCCATTCTTTACATGCTTATCAGTGCTGCTACTGTTACTGTCAGCTTCATTATCGTTGCCATTGCCCTTGGCGGTCTCCTCCTTGGCCTTGCTCAATATCTTGGACAGATTGCGTAGGCTATAGTGTTTGGTATCGCCAACTGTGGACTTGGCCAGATTGAAGCTGTTTACAAAAGACTTGACTGTCTTGGTGAATCTATCGAGCATGCCGTACTTGACCAGCGATTGCAAAATCATGTATGGAATAAATTTGCGCTCCTCATGGTAAAGCAAGACAATGCCATCCGCATTTGGATTTTTCGATTTTAACTGATCCAGCCAGTCAAGGAAGTCTTTTAGCGCAGCGACCTCTGATTTAGATTTGATGATCTGGGAAAAGAGCACACAAAAATATTCCCCGAATTAGATATATAATTGGAATACTGGATTAAGCTATACTACTTGGTACCTACCTTGTAGGTCTGCATCGACTTCAGCATACGAAAAAATCCAATCGAAATAACGCGAACTTGATGACGCTGACGGGCAGCAGGATTTAGATTCATATACGGCATAATGTATTGTTCAAAATGATCGGTAGGAGTATAAGCTGCCAACTGGACAATCTGCCATTTGCAAGTAGTGCAAAACAGTGTGAGGTTAAATTCGATTGCCAACGAGTTCATTGACCTCGCTTACCTCGTCGATGAGACGGCGTCCTGTTGTATCGATGTCAACGGCAACCAAAATGTAGTTACCATTTGGTAGCTCATCCTTAATAGCAACACCCGTCGACGTAGCCGAGGACTGATCCGCGGCAGAGATATCAATCACTGAATCAATGCTAATGGCAACCATTTTGGTATATGAACTGCCAAAAAGAGAAAAAAATACCAATTAAAATACCTCAAGAAAAAATTTAAAATTTACTTTTGCCAGCGGCAACAGTAACGATGCACACAGATTGAAGACGAATTGCGAACTGAACTTTGTGCAGAACTGTCAAACAAGCAAGAAAACAACGGCATATTTCCAGGACTGTTTTACGCTTCGCCATTTTTTTTCGCCTCTCAATTTTGTATTTATTGCCTTTCAATTCAATTCTCATTCTCGCACACACACATACTTCTATAGTTTGCTCTTTACGTATGTATGTATATACATACATGAATTTAAATTAAAAAAAAAAAGAAAAAAAAAAATCATTCGCTTACCTTTCCCACTAACGTTCGGGCTTAATTCGATGGGTTTTTTCGCTTTTTACGAACTTTTTCCTTTATTTTTCAAAAGGGTAAAAAAGCGAGATTTGCTTCCGTTCGACGAGCTTTCACAAATAAGAAACAATTCGTAAGACTAACAAAAACGAAATGAATAGAAATAAAATCTGAGCTAGGCATGTGCCGAAAATTTCGATTTCAAAGCCTACTACAAATCACTTTTTGAGCTAAGTACAATGGGTGTCACAGCTAAAATAACGCATTTTTTAATTGCTGCACTGTGGGCACTTAAAAGATTTTCTAATTATGTCTGATTCTTATTTATTTTACACTTACACTGATTATAAATATTATTTATTTGTCTTTATCACACTTTTTAATTACAATTTGTTGGCATGTAAAATAAGTCGGCGCACTTCTTACATATGCAACTGCTTTAAGCCGAAAACGCACAAGAACGGGAACGGCAACGGGAACGGGAGAGCACAAAACAGAGATAAGCTGCAGTGTTGCCAAATGTATTACAGGTATATGCAGGTTGTCGGCAATTGAAACAGAACGAAAAGAAAACATCGTGTTAGAAATTTGCCATGCTTCATGCATTTTTGTGCTAATTGCAAACAAAGCTGTTACAAATTCCATTGCGCAGACCGCGTTGACGTCACAGACTAACAGAAACCAGGGCTGCATAGCGGATGTAAATAACAGAGCTCATATGCCCATGTCAGCGATAATTTAACCTTATAGGATTTTCTCGCATTTATCAGTTCAAAATATGCGCGTACATGCGCATGACGTCACGTCACACATTTGCAAGCACTTGGAGTGTTAACAGACCTGCGCAGTGCGCAGTGGCTTACCTTGTACTTGTGTACCTGTGATGCAGCCCTGCTGATACCAAAACAAAAATCAGCTGTCTTATAAAATATTAGTCCAGTGTGATTGCATTGTAAATGTTATTTGTTTAAACAGCACATAAAGTTAAATAGAAAACACCATAATTGAGAGAACAATATTATGGTGGGCATTAAATGATTGCAGCACATCGCCAACAAGAACAACAATAGAAGTTCACAGAGAAACAAAATCACTCTCTTCGTCGCAACGCGTAAAAGATAAAAACACGGACGAGATAAGAGCAACCCAATCAAACGTGCCAAACAACAAATACCCATACAATTAAACACCTATACAAGCACACACACACTCATACAGGGGAATAATTAGAGCACATAGCAAAACGCTAAATATGTTGTCTTACATTAAGCGCAAACTCTCTGAATCGGACAGCGGCAACAGCAATAGCAACAGCAATTCCACACCAGCCGCGGAGCTCGTCCGGAAAACAAGTCAAATGTCATTGGACAATGGTGCAATTGTCTATGGAGAGGATGCCTTACTACATGAGCTGGGCTATCGAAGCGCCACAGATCTACAAGAGACTATCTATGGTAACGAGAGCATTGCAGATTAATTGATAATAATTATATAATTAGCATATGTTGATTTATGCTCACAGATCTGTTGCGCACCATTCGCGATCCGGAGAAGCCCTGCACACTGGAGGATTTGAATGTTATCTATGAGGATGGGATCTTTGTGATGCAGCCAACCCGCTCAAATGTCTCAGTGGTAAGCCTAGCTATGGACTGTATAAACTGTGCTACTGCACTACTGTAATACGACGTTACTGTGCTACTGGATATTTGAGCATATGGTCTTCTTGACTTTTAACTACCGTTGTTGTTGTACTACTGTACTATACGACTGTGGTAGTGGACCTATGTACTACTGGACTACTACTGTACTACTCTAAATCTGTCCTAAAATACATTTTTTTTTTTATCATTTTTAAGGTTCGCATTGAATTTAACCCGACTGTGCCGCACTGCTCGCTGGCTACGCTGATTGGCCTCTGCATACGCGTCAAGGTGGAGCGTGGACTGCCGCATAATATAAAGCTGGATATTTATATCAAGAAGGGCGCACATCAAACCGAGGAAGAGAGTAAGATTTGTTAAAGAACATAAAACGATAATCTGATTTATATATCGATTAACTCTTTCAGTTAATAAGCAAATCAATGACAAGGAACGCATTGCAGCTGCCATGGAGAATCCCAATTTACGTGAACTAGTCGAGAATTGTATCAAGGATGAGGAATAGAACACGTGTGGCTGCTCGTATGTGCTGTATATACTATATAGAGATTTAGGTCGGGTTTAGTTCATAAGTTTATAAGTGTACCAAGTACTTGTCGCCTGTTTCTGTATGAATTGTCTACAAAATTAAAGTCTTAAGATTTGTTAAAAGGGAGGAACAAAAATGTAAATGTCGAGGCTGATCATGTTCTCATTTGAGCTATATTTAAAAAAAACATATATCACCATTTTATAAAATGTGTTATATTTTATTAATTGTGAAGCTAATGGAGGAGAGACATGTGCAGAAATCCTTTTCACTGATGCTATTAAAACTTATTCAATCACTGATTGATTGCCTGAAGTGTGAGATTTTCGAAATTCTATGTCATATTCTGCTAGTTTATATCTTCCTCACTAGATCCACAGACGGATTCTTATTGTCCATCTACCCTGTAGGTTCTAGATATCACATACGCGTTACTTCTGCCCGTTTAATCTGGAATTTAAGCTGTTGAGGCCTTGCCTAATGCATTGCTGATAGTGTGGCACATGTAGCCCCATTTTCCTTAAAGCTCTATGCTATCTATATATAGAAGTCAAGTAACTGTTGTTAATCTTTTGAAGAGGCTCGCACGAACCGTGTGCAGGGCAGTTATCTGCTGTGAAGTTCGTGAATGAACTTGTCAGCCATGTTGGCTACCATTTTCAGGTGACGAATCGGGCAATCATGCCAAGTATGCCCATCATATACGGGCACAGCTATCAGCCTACAGTTAGATGACTAAACGGCTTATCAGCGAGCGCATTTCGTTGCTTTTACCGTTCGACACATAAAAGAATCTCAATTAAAGCCGGAGCTGAGGCCATTTTAAAACTTGGCGCACAATTAAAAGCAGCTGCTGCTTGAACTTTACTGCAGCCAATATTCTGGAAGGGCACAGGACGAAGGACGAAAAACTCTGCAGATGATAATAAAAAAAAAAGACAAAACCTTCTGGCAAAAGCATATTGCGAATATTACGCTAATTGGAGTCGGCAATCAAAGTGGACTGCGCGTCACAGGCACGTTGTGTCGTGCTCTCCCCAAGGATGCCGAGTTCTAATCGAATGCGCCCGACTGAGAGATACCCTGAACGCAAGTTTGATATGGATGTAGAACGCCTGTGGATCTCTAGTGCTACTGAGATCAAGCGGATGTAGAAGATCATGGACAGTCAGTCAGACTGTGCTGGCTTGACTCAATAGTCTGACCAAAAATATTTTGTTGTCTGCCCAGCCAATATGCCCCGTTTATTCATTTTCAATTGAGTGCAGGGCATGAGAGACAAGAATGTTGCCTGGCAAAAATGTCCTTTAGCTTGCTCTCAACGTCGCTCGAGCCGCGTGTCAAACACTTAAGCTTTCAGCAGCTACGCTGACCTTCACCTGTCGCAGGCGGCTTTTTCTTTTTATGCGCGTTTACGAGCCGAGTAGGAAGGAGTATATAGGTTTTGTGTAATGCTCAACTTGATGTCCAGCTGCGGACTTTATACTCGCGCGTAACCATGTCTGATAAGCTGTCTAGACTTTATAGCCAACGTCTAATTGAGTTGCCTTCAGAGAGAAAGCTATGAGGAATGGGAAATCGAGTAGCCTGAGCCATTATTATGCAGTCAGTTACGCTCGCCTGCAATACCTTTGCTTGTTGTTCTCAAGGATCACGAGCATAACCATTAATAAGTTTGAGCATATCCATTAGCAAACGGATTGAGGCTCTTCTTTCCTATAAGTACGAACAGCTCTTTGATGAGACGTCCTTCCGGCTTGCATTTTCTCGGAATTGCGGCCCATTATTATGATTGCAACTGCCATAAAAAACGGGACACCACGAATTGCCCCAGTCGCATTTACTCTCAAATTAACATTCGGATTTCAGTCAACGTTCATATCTGCTGTATTTCATTATGGCTACAGCGTGCATTATGTGAACTATCTTGGATGGGTCTGAACTACTCTGGGATGGCCTTTGATGACATTGTGAAGAGGCAATGTTTGCAAATATATAAAATGTATATGAAATAGTGAGTTGAGCTGATTGTGCAGGTATATATTTATTTTCAAATTCATACTATACTCTTCCTCTTTTACTCTTCTCAGTTGTTGTTCATCTTCCAATTGTTTGTCTGCTTTACTCATTCTCCTTCACAGATTGCTTGTCCAATTCGTATTATTCTTATACCTATACATATTCTGGCTTCTTCATCCTCTTCTTGCTTTACTATCATCTTCTTCTACTTCCTTCTCTTCCTGTTGGTTATTTTCTAGTTTTACTTCACCTGATTGGTCTTTCAGTTCTATACAATTTCTCATTTTTTTCCATCCTGTACTGTGTAGGGCATTCAAAATTCGCCCTTTTCACAACTTTCATGCAAAAATGTCACCCAACTTGTCGTTGCTCGACATTTTGCTGTCGTGTTGCTACTTATGTACATGCAATTGTAATATGTAATTGTTGAAGTTGCTTGTACTATACCACTGCTTGCAGTTCCAAAGGGGTATATCAGTTACAGCAATAATATAAAGCACGAAGGAAGTATATATGACTTAAGATATGTCAGAGATATACTCAAGATATGCAGGTAGATGAAGAGATGTATTGATCAATGTGCAGTTGTTATGTATAATAATATTTATATATCTCTATATCTAAAAGTTTTACATACCTAAATCTAGAGTCTGCAGTTGAAGGCAGAGCTGGTCTATCCAGATGGAATGTTCCTCTGGCATGACAGAGTATTAAGCAGTCCGCACCCTTTGCTATTTCTGGTTGCTGTTGCTGTTGTTGTGGCTGTTGCTGGTCAGGCTCATCAGTCGCTTAAGACCGGAAGTAACACTTGATGGCTTGATGTTGCGGTGCTCGTGCTTACGCTGCGTATGCGCAATATGCAAAGCTGTCGCAACAGCAACTGCCGCTGGCTGACCATGCCCACAGTCACAGACAACTGGCAATAAC